GATAAATAGCTCTGAATGAAAAAACAGTTGTGTACAGTAATGCCTAATCTTCATGCGCGTGATCATCTTCGTCTTTTTATATATGTACAGTTTCCCAAAGGCACAGCAAAGGATTTATTAAATCCTTTGCATTGCTCACGCTGGGCATGAAAGGAACAGTCTGACCTACTCTGACTTTAAGAGACAAGCCAAACCAGATGCATGTAGACACAAACAGATACAGCTCGTGGAAGAACATGGAGGAGGAGGTCTAAGAAGAACAATGAGATTCTACACACAGAAGGAGAGAGAATAGAAAAGAAAAGAACAAAAAATGAAAGAGAAAAAGCAGGACTGAATGAAACAGATAATGAAAGAGGGAGACAATAAAGGCCTTTTCAGACATGGGGTATGTAACATTGCTGGCTTCATCAGCCTGTTAAAGCGACGGCTTTTTGGCATTCAGACGTGGAGCACTTTTATTTTAATGGTCCTCACAGCTCCATTCAGACATACCCACGACCGTGACAAAGGGAGCTGCGGTACACACTCGATATTTGCCTTACATGTGAGACGGACAAGTCCAGCAGGTAATGTATAATGTATAAGGCTGGAATTTTCTTACTACAACACAGCGCATGAACGTGAATGTGCTCATGTTATTGCTGTTTAGGGCATTCTCCAAAACAATCATGTTTTTTAGTGAGCTGAGCAACTAACAAAGACACACAAGAGACACCTAGACTGCCATGAATGGTAGGCCCACTAGACATAACAAAGCCTTCTATCAGTACATCATAATCTCCTGCGTGTCTGCCCGTTAATGTTGTGCTGTGTTGAAAGTGATACATAAAGGTTACTAGGTCCAACTGCCGTCACGACTTTAACAGAAAAGTGACCACGGGTGCTCGTTCAGACATGAAGCAGACACATTCAGATGCCATCAGATTAATGGAAAGGAGTGCGTGTCTGAAGGGGGCTTTAGATGGAAGCAGAAAAAGAAACAATGAGAATATGACAGGAAGACAGAAAAACAAAAACAAAAAGGGTGATTTTCCACATCAATACCCTCTCCTTTCACACCACCGTGTCCACTTGGGCAGCTGACAAAGGGTTGGGAGAGAGGGAGAAGGGGAGCTGCTGTCAGGGCAAACAAACAAATTGGCCGTTTTTAACACATCCTGATCCCTGATTCCAGTGCCACTGGTGAGCAGGCAGGAATGACCACCAGAGAGGCTGTGAAAGCTTAATGTTGAAGCTGAAAGTATCCATATCTCTATCCATCTCTGTGTTTATCTTTTCTCTCTAAATGTTGCCATGCACACGTTGACCTCTATGTAAGCACTGTAGAAGACAGGAGTGAATCATAGTGGTGCTGATTAGAGAGCTGTATATTCATCAGACAATAAAAAGCAGGCTCTCTGGGGTGACTGCTAATGCATACGACTCACAAGCATCTGTAACAGCTGAGCATTTTTGCATTGTAAAGCACTTTCCTAGCACGCAAACTACAGGCCATTGTTCTGACCACATGCAGAGCGTTGTAAGCTAATTGGCAAGTCACATCAGTAAGCCGCACCTTATAATTTCAAACAAATTGGGTCGTTCCGATCCTTATGATCCCCACTTGCAAATGTATAATTTAAGGATGCAGCAAAGATTGAAACTGCGAGCAAATGTATTGACATCTGAGCAATTAAAGAGGAGGTCTTGATTTGTAGGGGGTGTTAACTGCTACGCCAGGGGCTGATTCAGAATCTAATTTTGCGACAAGGGATAAATAAAAGGTTTCTGAGGCTCACCTGTGTCCCATTGAGGCAGCGAATAGAGCCTATTTGTGAATACTTCTGGTAAAAAAAAAAAAAAAATCGCTTTTGATATGCTTACTCAGTGGTCTGAGGCCACATATCAGAGCTTGGCATGAATACATGGTCCATAGAAATGGGTGCATAATGAGTTCTCTCTGGGCATACCTCATTTAAATCAATTGAATCATCTCACTTACAACCTGCGACAAAGGAATATGTCTTTTTATGAGGACCTACTGTATATGCATGAAGGAGAACAGACACGAAGCCATGGTTAAATGAGAGGATTATTGTGCTGCTGGTCAAAGCCAAGAGATGGACTTACTGACCCATTTAATGTCCACTTCCAGTGGAGCCGCTTGTTGGATGTGACCCCATCCACTCCCTCCCATAATCCTACAAGAGATGAACTTGCCTCGACATAAGTGATGTTATTGGACTTGACAAGAACCCAAATGTCTGCCACACAGCGTCTCAACATTACTGTGATGTGATTGCAGACCATGATGGAGCAAAGCATGTGACAGAGTTCTTTATACACTTGAGAAATCAGGAAAAATGGAAGCATAGTGTACAGTGGCAAATACATACACTATCAATCTCACTCTCCACAATTACACTGGTGTCTCATACTCTGTTCTTTCTTTAAAATTCTCTCTTGAAGAAGAAAAATCTGTGGTTAAATTCAGAAGCTGCAGGCCCCCCTTTTTAAAAAACAAAAGTCGAACAATTATCACAGCTCTAGCTTTAACAGTACAAGTTGGCCAAGCTGTTCTGCATACAAAAGCTTCTTTCTGTTCATGTGCTTGCAAGATTTGATCAAATCTGAAATGTTCTTTTCACTTTTAGTTTTCATTTCTTCTTCTTTTTTCTTAGGAAAGCACTGGTGAAAATACATACCTTCAACTTTTAACACCATAAAAAAAAAATTCTGATAGCTTGTTTTAGTGCTTAGTGACGCAGGCACTGAAACAAGCATCAAGATATCACAGAGAGGGCGTCCAGTGACAGCCAGAAAAAAGTGCCATCATTTATGTGTCAACATCAGCCATGTGGGAGGACAAGTTTATTGACATTTTGATGATCATCCTGGACCACTCTCCCTGGCACTCATTGACTGCAACCCAACATACAGACGGGTGACAAATTAAAGGAAAAATCCAACATCAATTGTCATAAAGTGTGGTGGAGAGTGCTGTCTGACATGTCGGTCCTAAGTCTCCCATAGAGGCTCGGTTGGGTTGAGATCTGGTGACTGTGAAGGCCACAGCATATGATTCAAACCATTTTCATACTCATCAAACCATTTAGTGACCCCTCATGCCCTGTGGATAGGGTACTCCTGGAAAAGACCACTCATTTGTTCATGTTTTTACTTTAATTTGTCACCCGTACATTAGTCAGCAGCAGGGCCAAGCTCATGTCTCATTCGTCAGTGGGAGAGGACAGAGTCTTCATTGGCATTTAAAACACAGATGTGTGAATACTGAAGTCTGACGAGTGAATCTAGTATTTCAGGGAGTGTACGCCTTAACATATTCTACAGGAAGTGAAGCAGACTCCTTTGGGTGCTTGAGAGGTTTGACTGTGGGAATAAACACTTGTAAAATGTTCTTCATGCTCACAGACATGACACACACAATCAACTGGAATGCAGTCTTATTTCGGGGTGGATCCTTTTAAAGTCTGATTTTCGGTAATCAGTGTCCATTCAACACATGAATAAATCAATTGAGTGTGCAGCCCGTCTATACAGCTTATTCCAAGAATCCATGACAGCTATGCTGAAAATAAAAGCTGTTGTGGAGGCTGTTCCTTGACTGCCTAATAATCAGTTTACCTTTTCTAAACATATAATGGCATGTAAGGACATGCTCCAATTTATTTTCATTATATATCAGAAAAAGTGATATTGTGGTCAATTTACAGCAACTGGGATTTAAGGCACTGGGTAAAATAATCTCATTTTAAACTCTTTGTATGAGGGTGTGAAATTATTTTCTGGACATGACAACAATAATAAAAAAAAAATCTGACTGTGGTAGGCTGCATTTCTGCTTGAAATTACCTTGTAATATGCAAATATTTAATTGAAAAAAACCTTTCACTTCAAACATGTCATTCACAGTTTAAAAAAATAAAACATTTTTTATCTTTTTCCTCATGATTGTTGAATTTTTCTAGGCAGCGCACCCTCCGCATATTAATTTTGCTTTCCAAACTGGACTACGTTCTTGGTTACAGTGGAGCTTGTCTTGGTCTCAACAGATTAATGCAGTCCCACTGATTGGAAATTTAATACCCCTAGCCCATGTCTTATCAATACAAACGTGGATGAGGAAACACATTAATACATATTGAGCTGTTGGATAATCTGTGGAAAAGTTACTTGACTTCTGTGGCTCATCACTGACTGCGTTGAACATTACGTGGATTTAGGACTCTGGATGCAGAGGGGATTAGGATAATTACTGTTATTATATTCTCGGTGTAAGGACTGCTGCAGGCCTTGACTAGACGCCCCTCAGGTCTTGACAGTTAAATTAAAAACATACGCTGCTGATGTGACCCTGGATGGCCGATCCTTCTTCTTTGCATCTTCCATTTCTTTCTATTACAAAAAATCTTGAATCCTTATACTTCCCCTACAGAATGTGAAGTATTTTTTAAAGGCTGATAGAGATTTGGAGCTTCAGTATCACTGGGAGAATGATCTAGCCTTGGGCAAGGCCAGACTCTGCACCTGTCCGGGCATGTATGCTTCCAGGAGTGAGGGTATATCTCTTTCTCCCTGTCTAACTCTCTCTAAAAAAGCGATATGCTAGCAGGGTCCCCTGAGCCTTAGCACCAGGGACACAGAGAACGCTCGGATGGTAAACCTCCCCAAATCCTCTGGATACTGATCCCTTATGATACGGTAACTGGCTTGGAGGTGTTGTTTACCATTGAGCCCAACTCACTTCACTCACCGGTTCCCTCCAACCCCACCCCCACCCCAGGAGATGCTTTCCTACACTCCAAAGCTTCCGAAACATATCTAGCACATATTAGATTCTAAATTAAAAATCAGTCAGCTGTGACACTTGATACATAGATGGGGAATACCGAAGGAATATGAAAGTGCACATGACTGCAACTAAAATCACAATATCAGCAGTGCAATTTAACATTATTGTCTGCACAAGAAATGATTGGGGGGGCCTGGGTTCTTACCATGTGCTGGATCAGGTGGGCCAAACTCCAGATTGTATCTCAGGATGTAAAAATTATTCCAAACATAGAGCTGGTTATCTCGCGGATTGTAATCCACAGCTGCAATGTACTGGTACTGGTTGGGAAAGTGGATATCAACATATTCCCCACGGTTCTGTTTAGTATTGTAAATGTAATCAATGAGGCTCTTGCTGACCTCACTTTCATTGTCTTCATAGGTGGAGCGAACCACGTACAGTACTCCACAAACCATGAAGGCATTGGAGGCTGAGCGCTTATCATAGGCCGTGTCCCAGGTCGCCTCAAAACGCAGTGTGTAAGGGTTTAACTGACTGATGACCATCATGCCATTGTTTTGCTCTGTGGCGTAGATCACCCACAACCCATTCTCATCTACCGCAAGGTCAATGTCTGTTTTACCACCCCACTTGTAGGGTGACGTGTCGTGGTAGTTGGCATTGTTGATGATCGCCTCCCCGCTTTTGATTCGAGTCCGCAGATCAAACTTCACAATGTTGCGGGTACGCTCCTTGTTGAAAAACACAGCTCCATCGTAGACGACAAATCCAGTCCCATCCACCCGGTGGGGTAGTTTGTAGGTGATGGTTTGCCGGGCATTTTGGAAGTCTTCCAGTGAGGAATACTCAATGAGAGTGTCTGTCCTATAAGGAGTCCAAGGCATGAAGTAGATTTTGTCACTGGCTTGCAGTGGGTCTTTGCACCAGGCGCCAGCTTGTTGCTCCGCTTCAAATAGAAAGGATGGATCACCGATTGCTTTCAGAGTCCCAGGACAAAGAAAAACTAGCAATGGAAGAAAAGTAGAATAAAAACAAACACAGGTTAACATGTGAAAAACAAAACTATGTAAACTACTGTACATGTAATATCAATCAGTATAATGTCTTTGTTTTGTTTTACTGGTTGTCCACGAGGAGTGGGGACAAACACACATGAAAGAGTGGCCTAACCCCACTAACAGCTATAGCCAATATTCACAAGCAGTGTAAGGATTTTGGTTTTGTGCATAGAAAAATAAAGAAACAGGAAAGTTATTAAACAATCATGTTTAAGTATATAAAGTAGTCTGAAACAAAAAGAGGTTTGGCCTCAGACATTTACTGTTAGAAGTAAAACATAAATGAGGGGAAATAGAACAGAAGCAAAATGTACAAACAAAACAATTGGTCCTGTAAACAAAACTAAACAAACAAACAAAAAAATGCAGCAAACAAAAGTTACTTGGCAACAGACGGGAGAGGTTATGAGAGAGCAGGAGTCAGCAGAGTCGGCAAAATGTCTGTGTACTTGGTCTCACCACCTTTTCTACAATGTATACCTGAGAGGGTTGTCACTACAAAGTGGTGCAAATGTCACCACCAATAAAAAAGAAAAAAAAAACTTTCAGTAAGGGTCTCTTGAGGTGTTTTGGTTGTTGCTCTGAGACATAGGAAGCATAAGGATCAACAGAGAGAAGAGCAGCAAGTGGTCAGGTGAGAATAATATGGAGAAGAGTGAGAGAGTGAGGGTGGGGGGGCTGGCAGTCTCAGAGAACAAAGGGACAGTAGAAAGTAATAGCTTGCAAAAAGGACACTGGGTAACACCGTTACCATGGCATGCTATGGAGAGGGTTCGGAAGCCAGGCAATATGTGATTCAGCTGAGTAGCAAAAGCACCCAGGGACAATGACAAGAGGAAGCCCCTATGGACCACAGCCAATATGCCCCCATTTGCATCTTTTGGCTTGTGTGCTGTCTTTTTAACAGCCAGCCTCACTTCCCTTGTTATATTATGTTGGCCGTTAACATTTGAGGGGATTCTGAAGATAACGTCTGCGATGGGTTTGTAGGGGCTACCATGGGAAAATAGGTAATTTACAACCAGATGCCACAAAACAAGGAGCTAGGGTTTGGATCGTGTCTGGTATTTACCTTTTTGTTCCACTTCTATTTTAAGCGTTGGAAGAGAATGAAAGGGGTGCAAGGGGAAAAAACAGATTAATATGAATTAACTGTAATTGCTGTGATAACATATGCAGAAACATGTTATGTGATACGGACAAACACAGGTACACCTATTCAGAAAAAAACAGTAGAGGTGTGAGAAAGTTGACACACAGCTGCCAAGTTCCTGTTTTTGAGAACGGGTCAGATTATATCATCAAGAATTGTCTGATCATGTCTGTGATGAAGACCAAATTTTACACTTGGCTTAAAGCACAGTGGAGGGTGGATTTCTTATTTGATAGACTGACTGACAGTATGTATCATCAGTGGCATAACTTCAGTCAGGTTCCACTTCAGACATTCACGGTTAAAGTTTATTTGATTTTTGTTCAAGTTTGGGTTTTACATTAGAAATAACAAGCCAGAAGAATGATCTATTTAGTTATATGTAACATAACTAATGTAAAAATGATTATATGTTAATAAACAATTTTTAAGATGCAAAGCCACTGTAGTCCTATGCTCTGGCTAAAACAAAGTATATTGAGATTACTGCACATTTTTAATGATGATATATTGAATATCATTTCACTTTACATGACTCTAGTTTGATTGAAAAATCAAACCAAGTTGCTTTCAAACTGTGGTATCATTTAATCCACCCACCACTACAGTCCAAGCCTAATTCTGTGAAAAAGACAGGTATCATGTTTTCTTTAAAAAAAAAGAAAGAAAGAAAGTTACCATAGTCGACCCAGTCTCACATCAAAATGGTTCAAACTATGGTTAAGTTGCAACCTCTGAAGCTGAGAACTGAAGTCAATGTAGAAGTGTTAAAATCTGCAGATCCTCAAAAGGCCACATGAAGCTGCTCCAAAAGGGAGTCAGCTTTACAGCAGAAATAAGTGTTTACAGCCTGGTAAAAAACAGTTTTGGTCTCTATGGTTAATTTCCCCTAATAAAACACAACGTCAGACACAGAACATAATCTCCAGTTCTCTGCATGAAAGTCAGCTGTTTGTTGGACCCATACATCCATCGCCTTCCAGTGTTTTTAACATTAGAAAGTTCAAAACTACATGCTTCCTGATCCACACTCCAGTCCAGTTGGCAGTGGTAATGCACCATTTCCTTGCTTGACAACTGCCATAAAACACCAAGAAGACCACAAAGAAGGACAGTGGGCTATGGTTAAGTTGCAACCTCTGAGGCTGAGAACTGAAGTCAATGTAGAAGTGTTAAAATCTGCAGATCCTCAAAAGGCCACATGAAGCTGCTCCAAAAGGGAGTCAGCTTTACAGCAGAAATAAGTGTTTACAGCCTGGTAAAAAACAGTTTTGGTCTCTATGGTTAATTTCCCCTAAAAGTTAGACACAGGGTGTGACCACCTTGAGTGACAGGCAGGATGGTCCTGCCACAGGTAGCTAGCTAAATGAAGCTAGTACATCTGTTAGTGGCGCTGTTCTGTTTTACGTTGTGAGCCAATGTAGCTATTATACATTCTGATGTGAGACCGACTGACAGAATAAAAATGCAGTGAGATACCTGGCTAATGGCAACAAGCCTTGGTATAATGCTCTAATCTTACTTGACCATTCAAAATGATAAAACCATATGTACAAAGAGAAAAAAAAAACAACTTAACTGTGGCCTTCTCAGTGAAGCTGGTAATAAGTATAAATCACTGGAGCAACACACATTAATATGGGCTATGTGCACTCACTGTTTAAATCCATATTCCCTAGCACTGCACTTATTTGTTGAGTTATTTAGTGCTTTCCAATACAAGGTTAAAATTATCAACCAAGGGTATATTCAGGGTAAATGCTGAAGCTGGGTGTGCCAAGAAGCAGTGTCCAATTCAATAATGTGAGGTGTCAGTTGCTGATTTATAAAAAATATCATAGGCTTAAAATGTAAAAAACAAACAAACAGGTGCCATACAATATACATCAGCACTGCATGAAAATAACCAACTTATTTTTAACTGCAACAGCAAGACAAAAAATGTCCAAAAACTGATTTATGAAAAGTTTACATAAATGCAAAATAATCTTTAGAAAACATGTTTCTATAGTTAGTCTAGAGTCTAGGTCAGACTATTAACTGTTCAAGACATTTCTGCTTTGCAACAGGTCTGCTTGCTGTTCATTTAACAAGGTGTTAACAAAATATGAGAGAATAGAGGCATTGCAAAAAAATAAATCCACTCCCTTAATGACACTACTTCTTACAACACAAACATGCTTAAGAAACTATAATTAAAATTAACACTTTATCACATGCTACCAGAGCTTTTTAAAGCAATGAATGTAGTTTATTTAATTGTTATTAACCTTATGGGACATTAAGTCAGGTTTTCTATGATTTTCTACAAATTCAGGCACGTTGCTATTTGACATTTATTCTTTCAGTATTATAGTAACTGACTACTGGAGGATAATCTGAGAAGCACAGACTGAAATCTTTTCTTTTTTGCTGTCTCACTCTCAGATTTCAGTTACAGGGTTTCACAGTACACAGGCTCAACCACAGAAGGCCTGCAAGGATCAATGCTATAACGTTAAATGTATACTCATTTTGGGCCAGTTTGCATCATGGGATAGTGTGGGCAATCACAAATTATGTTCCCCTTTATTACTTTAGCCCTAATGCTCCAGCTAGTGCAGGTTCATTTCAAAATTTCAGTCTGTTATAACTGTTGAGTCTGACCTAGACTCCAGTGACCAAAAAAAAAAGACAGTGGAAGGATCCATATTTAAAATGCACGTCATTCTGCAGAAGAAATTCAAGTGCGTTGCAGCTAACCAAGAGATCAAACACAGATAGGGAGCAAACAAATTAACAACAGCTGAGCTCTCAGAAGCCACCTCAGCCACATAAAACAGAGGAGGCGAGAAGAGGACAAAGAGAGATGGCGTGAAGGAAATCTGGAAAGAAAAGAACACATGACGGAAGACCTGATGACGTTAGTGGAAATGTAAAAATAGAAATAGCAATCAGTGTGATCAAAAATCGGTCAGTGGATGAAGAGAGAGAGTCAGATAGCCGAAGAGGTTTCCTGCAGATTGCACAGGGGAAGGAAAGAGAGTCAGTCACTTTTAATACAGCAACATTAAAACAAACATGAGACATCCCCAACCCACACTAACCCCCAAAACCTTAAACTTTACAGGCTTTCTAGAAAATTGCCGCTTTCTATTAAATACTACTAATCAAATTACCAAGCCTGTTAATTATCACAGTTAATAAACTGCTGTCAGCTGCACATTAGTGACTCTGGGGTTATTTAAATCAAAGCATCATGAAAACGGCATTGAATAAATAAGGGAAAAACTGAACACAATAACAAAAACACCAAAGGGGACCCCAAAATTCATGCTGTTACAGCTTATGTTCAGTTTTCATAATCTAGCCACGACTGTTACATGGAGCTAAGGGTTTACTGGCATTAGCATGTAATGAAAAATGAAAATATTAACATTGAGGATTGTCCTCTGGCACTGCTTTACTGTTTTACAAGAGTAACATAAGAGTGGCAACTTTTTTTTTTTTGTTCACCATTTTGAAAAAGCTTGTACAGGACATGCTTATTAAAGAAATGTGGCTTTTATGTTACCTGAATCGAGCAAACACTAAAGCCAATTCAGGGGGTGACTCAGTGAAGGCAAAATTTACTTCCTTGGCTGGAAAATGAAGATAATGCTGCTAATGAGAAAATTTCATGACAGGAACCAAATTATGAAGCCAAAAGAATAAAAATGGTGGAAAAGCAAGCAACTTGTTGCAAAGGCCACTTGCACAGAAGTCAAAAATCCAAAAATCGCTTGTGTGTTTATGCCAAGGCTTAGACAATAGAACAAATTCATTAAATATCTAATAACATTCAGTTGGTGTCAGAACAACAACTGTTTTATCACATTATGTTTTAAAAAGTCTAGTTGTATTTCATTGAACAGACAGACTTTGAGGGGCAGTGGTTACTACTACCCTAAAGGAGGACGCCGTCTGTGGTCCCGTTGTTTATCGGCTTAATGGAGATTTAATATGTGATCTTGTACAACAACTTCTCAAGTCTTGTATCCCAGCAAATCCAGGGGATGCTAAGCTTCTGAATCACTGCACTGCACTTTTAAATCACAAATCTTGTATTTGGCATATGATCTATTAAGGTTTTTTCTATCCCATTTCAAAACTGTGGTAAGAGTTTGGTCTGGTGTGGAAAAGCTCTGTAAATCTCCCCCTGTGATTGCCTTTCTGTTAGTCTGACTCAACAAAATGATCTGAGGTGGGCTATATGGGTTTTATTTTGGGGAGAAAGAGTTGGGGGACTAGTAAGAGGAAAGCAACAAAACACAGTACTTGCCTATAAATCATAATCTATCACAGTTTACAACAGGGTTGAGTGGGAAAGGCTGGACTGGGCTTGTGTGGACTGGATCAGACTGGTAAAACACCAAGCACTTACCGGGGCAGGTGCGATACGATACATTCTGTGTTCTTGGTCCTATTCTGGTTGGGCATGGACCTTGAGAAGCAAAAAGACGGGGCTACAGACATGCATGCTTGAAACTGCTTAGAATGAAATGAGGACCTGTTTTGAATGTCTTTGTTGTTATTAGATAGCCTTTGCCAGAATTGAGAGTCCTTGGGCAGAAGATGAGTGACTGTTCTCTCAGTGCAAAAAGGAGGCAACAGACAATCCTAACAGTGGGTGGACATGAGTGCACCTTGAGGCTAATCCTACTATTAAGGATGTTAAGGTTGGGGTAACACAGCAAGACATAGGATCAATACTTCACTTAACTATGAGGCAAGCAAAAAAAAAACAAAAACAAGCAGTTAGACATTTAAGGTAGAAGCTACAGGATTTGGCTTTGCACAATAGGTTGGGCTCAAATTCTCATTATTGCTTGTTCTGTTTGTAATTACAGGTTCTCAAAGTCTCAAAGAGGTCAGCCTTTAAGTTGTAATGAATTTCACCATCTAATGATGTTCAGCAACACTGAGCGAATCAGTTTGAACAGGTAGAATGTTAATTAGTAATGTAGAAGTAATGTGTTACAGTATTTTTTTTGGGATAGATTTTATTTTTCACCTGATTCAAAACACATCAAAGTACCACATACTTATTCAAATCTACAAGTGCTGCCAAATACCATCTTCACATCACTCCTACTCCAATTATTTCACTTCCACCTGATTAGTGATTCTGGCAATTCGTCTAAATCTTTGTGATTAATCAGTTTGTAAAGGTTACACAGGGAACCTTCTTTCTCAAATTGCAAGTGAACATGGCAGCTTAAAGGACAAAGGGGAATTTTAATGCAAAGGGCAATCTAAAGATTGTTTGGGAGCTGAATAGCAATGAATATTTTAACATCCAACAGGCAGACAAAATGTTAACACTATCTCTTTAGATGAAAAATTACCTTGTTGACTTACTGAGTGGAGCCATTCTGTTCAGTTACATAATGAAACATCTGTTAACATTTTTCAGCACCTGTTGTATGGATGCATATTAAGCCATCAAGGTGAGCTGTGATAGTTTCGCCTGATAAACTTCTCCGTACTTGAGTAATGAAATACTCGCTTGCCATCATGGAGAGTCAGCATGACTTCCTCTACTCTCCCTCTATTCTACTACCTCATAACCAGGCTCGTCGATCCGCTGGAAACACGGAGTGAGTACATCAATAATAAAAACGGTACAGAAAAGGGACCAACGGGTTTTACAGGTCATATTTCATGAAAAGTTCATGGTGTGGCACAAATGGAAGAAGAGACAGAGGAAATGGGTGCTGGAAGGTGTTGCAGACAAAGAGAGCAGACTGTCTGGACAAGGCAAAAGGGAAGAAATGGGACACAAAGGAGAGAGAGAGAGCAGAGAAGAGAGAGAAACTGAGAATGGGTGATGATGGGAATAGAGGTGGGAGAGCTTTCAGTTCATGACAGAAGGGTCATACTTACTGTAGGGCACACACTCATACTGGACCTCCAGGTACTTGTAGGTCCCTGGGCAGGGGTCGGGGAAGACATCTGTACCCGTGATCACAATGCACTGCGTCCGATTGTTGCATCTGTCAGAAAGAAAGAAAGAGAACCAAAATTAACAACAATAAAGCCTAAACACATCCAAGAAGCTTTTCAAACAAAGTAAATTTATAGACAGACTCCTCAAAAAAGCAAAAACAGGTCATTTTAACTCGTGTTCAGCATGAGAAATTAAAAAAACAGAACCACTCAGCACAAAGAATAGTGAACTCTTGTTACCATTTAGTTTACTATCAGTAAAGTCAGGGCTCACTGCATTGCTTTTCACTCTGCACTTGCCTATTGGGTCTTCTCCACTATGTGTATTGTGTAAAAAAGGTCCTTTCTGCACTGTACTAGGCTTTTTCAAGAGCTTGGATAACTTGTCGGAATGTGTATAGCCCACTGAAATAATCTATAAGGCTTTATGACATTTTCCTTTAATGCAATATCACCTCTAAAGGCAATAACTGGCCAACAGTGTGCTATATTCTTGGTTTTCTGAATAAAATTTTCAGTCACACACACACAGTGTTTCTTTCATTCTGTAACTTTGTCCCTGTGTGTGTGTTTGTCTATGTGTGTGGCTACACACTGTGAGGGCCAGTTTGAGTTTTAGACCATTGGAGTGAGGACATTTTGGTCAGTCCCCACTTTCTCACGCACCATCATAGGGCTGTTTGATGGTCAAGTCTTGATTTTAGGGTTAAAGGTAGAATTAAGGCCCTTTTCCAACACCTGGTACCAGCTCAACTTGGCTCAACTCGACTTCCCTTATTTGTGTTTCCATCAGTTAAATGTTGGGGATAGTACCTGGTACTATTTCTGGCATCACCTCAATTGAGGTTACAAACGAGCAGAGGCAATACCAACTACTGACGTGTAAACACTACAGACTAGCAATTGGTCAGAGAAATCACATCAACATGCAAGACGTCCTGGAACTGCTGACAACGATGAGGCAGTGTAATGCGGTGTCACTATGACAACAAGCTACAATGAGAGGAGACAATCTGCAGTGAAACCTAAGCACCTCGGTACCAAAAGCGAGTAGAGTTGAGCCAGGCAATGGAAAAGGGGCATTACATTGTGGCTAGGTCCCGTTATGTCTGAACAAAGCCTTGCCGGGAATTTTGTGCACAGTAGTTCTATGTCTGAACGCCAAGAACAGCAACTGCTACACGGCTAAATGTAGCCTGCAAATTCCTGGGTACCATTTCTGAAAGGGGCTGAAAGTGTGCATGTGTATGTGTGGTGTTATAAATAAAACTGCTCTCTTGCAGGTCAAAAGAAACAGAATAAGAATAATTTCAAATTAAATGTACATAAACAGCACAAATCGATGGAATAAATATCAGTGGATATAGATTAAGTCTTATTCACAATGGACAACAATTGCAGGGGATCTCAGGTGATTTTGGAATTTACCCCCGGCATCAGTGTTTGGCAGGGGGCTTTTGCATGGGATAAACAAAGTGTGTGTGTTTCAATCCAATATCCTGACATATTGATTTGAGCTGGCTCCTCTGAATGGGTCTACATGCTGAGAAGCTAGATCAGCCTCTCGAATTTGCAACCAAATTGCCATCAAAGGTCTCATTAATGACTACCACTGTAACTACCATATTTCTAGACTTGGATTGGCAGAAAATACCAAAATGCACATCATTCAAAATAAAAACAGTGACTGTTTATCAGAAAATTTGTAATTTCTGTTCTATTTTTACTGGATTCAAGAGGGATTAAAAACAGAAACAATCCAGATATGATCATATAGTCAAATGGAATATAGGCTCCAGTGATTCACAGCAATGTCAGAGGTTCATCTTGGTACCTGCCTTTAGCATCTGGACAGTAGAGTTTCTAACTGATCTTGTGGTGTGCTCTGTGGCCCAGGGAACTGCAGGTGACCACCTTTTTGCTGTATTGAAATCATGATAATGACATCAATACCCCGAGCAGGCTGTCTTTGCTACCAAGGGGACTTAAAATTCTATTGGCAATGTGAGCAGCCAGATCAATAACCCTGTTCTGCTGATTTAGCAGGGACCATAGATAATATTTGTTTCTTCTTATCATACAGCAGTGTGCCAATTTACAGCAGATCACTGAAAAATGTATTACAGGTTGCATTGTGTTGTGCTTTGAGTTATGCATTTGTTTTGGGCTGCTGAGGTAATCACTGCTCTGCGTCCAAATGTTATTAATATAATATTAGGTAGCAGAACAGTAGAGGGTTTGTTACTGTTGAGGTGTATAGCATTGAACAGACACGGCGGGGCTGGAAATTGGTGCAGTTTAGATTTCAGATTGAAAACAACCACGAATGAAAGAATGCAGTGTACTGTGGTTTACAGCACAAAAATGTATACACCAACTTAAACAAATGGCTTCTGTGTTACAATACAAAATAGGCGAAATCACACAGCAGATAATGGGATTAACCATTATTGCATGTTCCTCTGTTTCTCCCAATCTGCATGTATGCCAATTAAAAAGGTTTTTTTTTGGTGGGGGGGTTGGCGCTGTTCAAACACCTTATAATATCACAGAGCCATAATAACAAGTGTCCCTACATCTGTGTATGTGCATCTCACGGGGCATTACACTTTATTAATGACCTCCACGTGTGATAGCAGATGATAATATCAGCATATTGTATTTGTTTTTATGGAAATTAATTACTGTTTTGGAATTAAAAACATGCACCTCATGCTGGGTCCATAATGTGCAGCTTGTTTTTGTGGGTAATATTTCATAACTCGCCAGCACTTTCCATATATTATATGGTCACTTTGATGATTGTGTCCCCTTTGCTCATGCATAAGCATATCATGCAGGAGCCATATAAATTACAGTGCTTTATTTAACAGATTCCAGTGAGACTGGGAAATGAATGCCTGGTTTATATTAGGCATGTGAAACAGAATGATATCAAAAATAAAATTTATGACACCAGTGGGACATAGCTCTGCCGTCATTTCACAGGCAAATGTATTATACAACAGAACATAAGCACTGGGGGAAAAAAAACACCTCATATTTCATTTGAAACAATATTGACATAAGTGTTGATAGCTCTTTCTGATATATTGCCCTAATTTTAGAGCTGTGGAGCAGGGGCGCCCTGATCTATGGGATTGTGCGACTCTTATTCTGTCTCATCTGTGAAACCTCGGGCATCTCCTGAGACCAATTGAAAAAGCCCTAATGACTTCTTCTATGCAGAGTCCTAGTCCTCAGTTTGAGCAAGAGCATGTAATTGAAATTCTTCCCATAAAAATTTCAACATTTGGCCCTGCAAGGGCACAGGTCTCAAAGTGCACACTAATTAAATACATGTAAAATATATCTCTGACTATCTTTTAATAGTCTGAGGCGATATAGTAATTAATCATGTACATAATGAATATTAAGTCAAAGGAAGCTTTTCTATACTTTTCTCCAGAGTGAAACATTATCTTCCTATAAATAACTTGATTGCTCAATAGGATTTTACTAAGGCAAAAGTGGAAAGAGTACTAACTTATTTTAATGCAAAAAAAAAAAAAAAAGAATTGGTGAGTTGGTCAAGAAGCTCAATATGTAGCGCATTTGAGCCAAAACTGTTAGAAGTTACCTTATTTTGGGGGAGGATGTTATCCAATTGTTTGGTGGACTTTCCATTTTGGCTCATATTGAGAAGAATTTACAATGCCATCTGTGTGGAAGGAGATGTATTCAAAATATTTTTGACAAATTGGTACAACTTTAACACATTTTGGACAAGAACCAGAAGTTGTGAGGTTTAAAGAATATAAATAAAATGTTCAGCTTTCAGTGCTACTCACCCGCAGAATGTATTATTACAGGTACGTTAACTAAGATTTTACATGTTGTATTATAAATCGAGTGAAAATAGAACAGGATGTGGGTGTCTCTCCGCTATCCTAACCCCCTTGATGACAGTCTGTAATTTAAAGCACTTCTGCTGTTATTCCCGCACCACCTCTCTGTGCTTTCAAGATACGGTCCGTAAATTAGCCCCACCTGCCATCTAGTGAGTTAATAAGCTTTTTCAAACCGTGAGTGGTCATTTCAAACAGCCAGCCATGTCAGAAACAGTGGCTGTCAGAGCGAAGAGCTTGTGTTCTTTTACACAGAGAGAGTGGGACAAAGAAAGAGCAAAAGCCAGTTTGACACTCTGAGATGGAGAGCAGCCAAACGACTCAAATTTGATTCATTCAACTCTGTACTGAATTGTTTTAATTTGGGAGTAATTCAAGACTTGTGTAACATTAGTGCTCTGTGTAACTTTGGCAGTTTTACTCATTAGTCAGCTAATGCTAGCTTCAGATTGGAGGCTGCATGTCGTACAGTTTGTCCATACCAGGCACCCATAGTTTATGTCGTCGGTAGGAAACAGGGCGCGATGGGAGGAGCAAAGAGCAGTAAGGAGCATCTTATGGTGTCCATTTGTTTTGGGTTTATATAGAGAAAATTGTCCTAGCTTTTTTTCTGCTTTGATTGCCTCCATTTCCCCCACCGTCCTGTTAATCATACTGAAGTGTTCCAAATGCAATCCCATCACATCTCTGACCTTTTGGGAGAGGCACACATCAGTACAATTAGAGTGTCATAGAAAATGCTGCTTGGATTTGATGCAAATCTCCTTTAAAAATGAGCACTCCCTGCTGACAGTGGGAAGAGGTGCAATAAGATGCCAACACAGTGCGACTGATAGCACTTGTGATACCATGTATCCACATACAAGTTAACCTTTTCCACTGCCACCAAGAAACTAATCCGATGAGGAAAATGTGTTAAATGAACAAGTTGTAAGAAAAATGCTAAAAACCGTATTTCTACAAACAAAAGTAGCAAAAAACTATTACTCAGGTCTGTCACATGACTGAACCATAAATTACTGTAATTCTGATTTGCTTTGCACTAATGGATCTTTTATCTATTTTATATATGCTACGTGTTCTGCGTGTAAAGCATTGAGCTATTTTACAGGTTTAATTGCATGCATCAATACTCAATGTAAAAAAAAAAACACTGTATC